CAGCTGCTGCTGCTGCTGAAAGTCAGGAGCCCTACTTTTAATTTTTTTAATTGATTTTATTTTTAAATACATGACAGTGGAATACATTACAATTCTTATTACACAGATGTACCACATTTTTCATATCTCTGTATATAAAGTATGTTCACACAAATTCATGTCTTCATACATGTACTCTGGATAATGATGTCCAGCACATTCTACCATTATTGCTAACCCTGTGTCCTCTCTCTTCCCCTCCCACCCCTCTGCCCTATCTAGAGTTCGTCTATTCCTCCCATGCTCCCCCTCCCTACCCTACTATGAGTCAGTCACCTTATATCAGAGAAAACATTCAGCATTCGTCTTTTTGGGATTGGCTAACTTCACATAGCCAGAGTTAATGACTTAGCCAATGAGAACAAAGAGGAGAAAGAAGCAAATAATTTGTTGTTGTCTCACTACCTGAACCTATTGGTTTTTGCTCCAATATGCTGGTTCCAGGATTTTTCCTTATTTGGATGTTACCCTGTCATCTCTGGTGAGCTGTGGATGGCTCAGGCTGGTCCTCTTGCTGTTATTATGCTGTTTGTAGTTGTAACTGGGTGGATCCAGGAACAGGTGAGCTAAGACAGAAGCCACAGGAAGGACATTCTCTCCACTCTAGTCCCAGGGTCATGGCTTTGGACCCTCTCTTACTCTAAGCAAACCTCCTCCCCTTCCCTCATTACCTCCATCTGACTTGGATGTAACCCACTTGTATTTTCTCAGAATGTTAGAGAGCTTTTTTACAGTTTTATTCTCTAAAATTGACCAGTCTCCCTCTCATTTGTACAGATCATTTGTCAAGCACAGGGACAGAGTCAACATCTCCTGGCAGTTTGTCATTTTGTCAGGAACCCTAAATTTTTACGTTTATTTTTTTAAACATAGCTCAGTTACTTTTCCAATTTTTTATTGTCTACCTAACACCTGTCATTGCACCTTATGATTTCTAATTATGATGCATAATGAGCATAATGGTTGTAGAATATGAGAACCTATCACTTGGATAAACTATAATTCATTTAATTATGCCCTTCCATTGGATATTTGAGATTCTTTCCATTGTCTCAACAGTGTTAATAGGGTTATGTGGGTTAGTGCTTCATAGCTGTAAAAAATATTGATTTTTCCTTTATCACTACAGTCCCTTGTCCCCCAGGATTCGGAAAGAGTTAAGACATCTTTCAGAAGTGCTTTAAGTTCTGGGAGAATCTGGTTCTTTGCTTCTGATTCATTTTCTGTGTGGGTGGTGTACCGCTCTAACCTTGTCACTGACAGAAAAGTTCAGATTTCATTCTCATCCTGTAAAAAGAAGTCTGTCCTTGCAGCTTTCTCTTCTGACTGAAGCATTTGCCTTCAGACAATGATCTTATACACTTTTCCATCAACATACTGGTACTTGCTAGTGTCAGTTCTCCTTTGGATTGGAATTGCAATTTCTTTTGTTCATCTAGGCTATTTTAAACGATGGCAGATTTTATTTAAAAGGCACAGGTTGTGCTACAGATCCTTTCTCTCCAGATCTGGTCATGATTGTCATACCATCCAAGGAAACTAAAGCAATCAAATGGAAGAAAAACATTTCTTTTCAAACTTATTTCAGCCCCAAACGAATGCTCAGATAATGTGATTTTAGTTTTTACATAAACCCACAGCAATTTGGTAAGCAGTAACTGAAAATAGGTTAATGAATCATCATGGAAGGAAACTTGAGAATGTTTGATTTAGCTGATGGAGGGCTCCAACTTCTGCAGGCCATCCACACCAGCAAGGTTGGAGACAGGAGAGGAAGGTGTACATTCCAGTTTACTTTTCTGATTTCAGTTTGTCTTTGTGGATTTCATGGTTTCAGCCTGTAATTGCTCTCCTCACTTTGTGTCCAACTATGCTTTCCAACCACTCACCTGCCCAGCCACAGAGACTCTGGGACCAATACTAGTTATTATTTTTTTTTTTTTAGAGAGAGAGAGAGAGAGAGAGAGAGAGAGAGAGAGAGAGAGAGA